TCTTGTATGAGCTACGAACCAGTAAGTTTGGGGATGTGTGAAATTTTCCGTGCATGCCAGCCATGTCAGGTAAAAGTTCGTGTTCCGCATCAGGGAGAGCCCTTCATACTGGGAACAGGTTATAGGATGAAACCTAGGCCTAAACCCTAAACCAGTTGGGGCTGTTGGGGCTGTGGGACTGTTTTGCTGCCTCCATGGTGAATCCTGATGCTTCGGCATGTCGTGCCGGGCCTTCTGACTCCTGGGTGCAACCTGCAAATTCTTAACGAACCTCGGGTCCATAACTAGGAGCTGCTCACTTCCTAGCAGTTGGCCGTGGCATCTCGTGGCGCTCTTAGCAAATTATTCCCTGAACCCCGAACCCGGCAATGTCCTCTTGACTGGGCTTGGGTAGGCTTGACCCGGTAAAGGGGACTTGTATTTTTTGTTGTGGTTTCGGATTTAGGTTTCAAGGGTTAGGGATTCAAGGCTTCAAGGGCAGCCCTCACTGAGTTTCTTCTGAACCTAAATTAATCAAGTACGATTCATTACCTTATCGCATTTACTGTTAAGTAGGTTACCATAATCAGTATACCTAGTAAACAGTATGGTTTCCCATGACTCGGGGCCTCGAAGTGGATCCCTTTTTTGGGAGCAACCGGCAAGAACCGAGTCTCGGTTTCGAGCTTTGTGTGTAGGCAGGGTCCCCAGATCGTAAGCGGGTTCCTTCCTGGGATGCTCCCAATAAACGAGAACTGTAGATTCCTTTTTGGGCGCTACTATAGGATAATTGTAGACATAGTAAGCCCTTTGGGGTTTGGAGTTTGAGGGAAGGGAATAAAGGCAATATGATACGGGGCTATGTGGAAGGTTGTTTAAAATCAAGGACCCTTTAGGATACCCTGTCTATTAGGTCTAAAAGGGGCGGGCCGTAGTGTCATGGGAACGCAAAGAGACAGTTGTTTTTAACAACCCCCTGTCTGGCAGTTTCTACCAATCGCGCGACCCCAGTAAAGACCCCAAGATACAACAATCCTGTTCAGACGGACCCTCAAAACAGTACGTCTGTTTGTTTGGAAACCCTAAACCATATCGATCCCTGTATAACCCAATATACTCGTATAACCCCCTTAAAATCATCCTGACTTTAGGGAACCCCTAAACTCCCCATACGGGGATCAGTATAGGGATCTGCTCGCTTTGGGTTTTAGGGGTTTAGGGTTTACACCCCTATAAGCCGTTTAATAACCCCAGCTTTTCCCCTTACTCACCTACTTGCTAAGTTCCCCGAGCCCGCAACGCTTAACCCTAAACCCTGAATCCTCCAAGTAGGATAACTAACCCTTTACGTCGCCTCCGGCCCTCCGCGCCGGCAATGTAGCCATGGCAGGAGTCCGGGAATGTCAAAGTTTGGGGGAACGTGGGATTTATCTTTTGGGTAGAGTTTGGGGCCCTAAACCCTAAACCCTAAATCCTAAATCTTAAACCCTACTTTGTAGGGTTTCAGATACTTCTGCCGCGAAGGCCGAGTGGTCAGGAGCTTCGAAGTACAGGCTGCTGGCTTCAGGCTTCCTGTCCTCTAGTCCCCTTAGACCTACCCTAAGGTACCATGTAGGTACTATTTATAGGGTTTAGGGCCCAATGTAGGTATTATTTCTATGAGTAGAGCCCCTGGGCTAGAATAAACACACCATTTCTAAGTCATTCCAAAGGGTCGCCCTAAACCCTAAGCCCTCAACCCTAACTGTCACCAGCAAGGTCCTAATCCAAGGAGCCTCCAGGATGCTAAGTAACTGGCCTGTCGCATCCCACAGTCGGTTCGATTGATGCCGGCGAGCGTCCGAGCGAATGTGAATATGGCTTTTGGGCTAGGGTTAAGGATGAAGTCCGCCCCGCTAAACCCCCAAACCGTAAGCAATGAGTAACATTGAGATTTTGAAGCCAGGTGCCTGCTATGTTCTTCTCAGGGTTGATGTAAAGTTCAGGATGTAGGTTTCAGGTCTTCAGAATCCCGATACATCGTCATCATAGACAATACCCCAATACCCTCTTCCCGAAACCTTAAACCCTAAATTCTGTTCTCGCGACTCATCCCTCTTTATTGGGTTAGCCTTCTTCTGCTAATGCAGCGCAAAGGGGTTAAGCGTCTGAAGGATGCAGCTTGGAGGGATAATAGATGCCTACGTTCATAGAATCAGGATTCGGGGTGATGTATATGATAACACTTACCCTACTAGACCCTAAACCCAAACCGCTTATGGGGACTAGGTTGGAGAGCCCTAATTATTTGGGATAGGATTGTTTACTTTGTACACGTCTCGATTTGTGTAGCAGACGTTTAGGGAATAGGGAGCAGGGATTTGGAGCAATGTATATGACGACTATGTTTGGGTATTCTGAAGGGTGCTTGCCGGCGACTATTTGGGTCCCAAGCCCTAAGCCCTAAACCCTAAAGCCTAATCCTTAAATCGTAAACCCTAAACCCTAAACTCTACACTGGCAAGGATCTGAGGACTTGATCTGCCCTGGAAACTACTCAAAAAGTCCAGGGCTTAGGATGGTTGGAAACTTATACTTCGGTTGATTGGGATCCTCAAAACCCTAAACCCTAAACCATTTATATCCAGCAACCCTAAACTAAAAACAAAAACCCTAAACCCTAAAACTCCTAAAACCCCTAAAATCCCTAAAACCCCTAAAACCCCTAAAACCCTTAAAACCCTAAACCCTGGGTTAAAGGTTTAGGGTTTTGGGTATGATTCTGACATGTCATTCTCCGTGTGCGAAATGAAATCACCAAACCTCCAGCACTTGGCGTTATCCTGAGAACAGGACCCCGACTGAAGCGCGATAACCTCAAGCCGCGCAAGCACCGACCTTCAAATTCATTGGGATAGACTCGAAATACCAGCTTCTGGAACAACTGGCGGATAGCCAAAACGGGCTAGATTTCATTAATAGCTCCTGGAAAATTAGATTACAGTGAAGATGAGACATGATACCTACGGAGACTACAGCTAGAACAATGCCCGAATTGGATGCGGCGCGCGTAGCTCCTCCGTAGTGCCAAACACCACGGGCTCCACAAAGTTGGCAATGTTGAAGTGAAGGAAGAACCTGTGTTTCTTTTGCATCTTGGGTTTAGGGTTTAGGGTTTACGGTGGAGGGGTTCAGGGTCAATTTCGGGGTTTAGGATATCAGTATTTGGGCTTGGGATTGAGGGCTCAGGCTTTACGATCCTTGCCTGATTTCAGCACAAATCCGCACACCACGTGCCATCTAAATCTTCCACTGAGCTTATCTGGACTTAGACAGTCTCTTCATGGATCCGCGTGCCTAGTGGGGATTAAGAGTGAACACGGGAATACATGATATGGGCTTACATGGGATAATGTTCCCTTATTTCCTGCTAAGCACCAACAAGTATAAGGAAGCCATAAGTCTTCTGCAAAACCTTTCTGTTAGGTTAGGGATTTCGCGCCACGTTCAATCTCCAAACATCCACGCTAGCTACATGGCGCATGCTTTGCAGGTAGATGCAAGGCACTTTTTTCTTGAAGATGCCTCTGTCTCAAGGCCAGACTAGGAATACTGCTGGAACACGAAGCCTAGTACTGGAATAGAGCTTCTTCCCTAGAGTTAAGGTTTAGGGGATAGAGAATAGTAGGTTTGAGGGTTGATAATGGAGAAACAATGGAAAAGAAAGTGGAACATGAAATGGGAAACTAGGGTCGTATGGGGGTTCTATAGAGAGTTCGTGGAGGGGTTTGCTGCTTCTTAATAAGAAATCTCAGCGTTCCTTGGCCGACCAGAGATTAAAACCCTGAACGCCAAGCCCATTACAGGCGGGTGGCTCGGAGGTGGATGAAGCTACCCGGTTTGGGGTTTAGGGTTTCGAGTTTTAAGTTTAGGTCAACACTAAAATTCCGCTCAGGCAAGTTATAGGGCTCTTGCGCGAAAGCTATGGCGATGGTATGGCAGCACTACATCAAATGTCATCCCGTAAATTACTGAAAGAGAAGGGGCTTCTATGAATCCCCAAGTCAAGACGGTTTGGCTGAACCCAGAGGCCCCTTTATAGCCCTGGATCCAAGGGCTTGTCATTGCCGGGTAGCAAGCTTTGCCTAGGCTCAGATGGGTTATCGAAATCACCCCTGTGGAGTCTGCAATAGGAGAGCAACAGTCGCAGCAAAAGCCATGAGGGTGTAATCCTTAAACCCAAAGCCCCGGCTCAAGATCCTGAGCCTAAGGTCCTGAATCCCAAACACTCATCTCTCAATCAAAAACCCCCAAACCCTAAACCGCAACTGAGACCTCAAACCCAACTCTCCACTTCACACCCCCAAACAAACCTTCCACCCCTACACCTGGGCTTAGGGTTAGCGGTTCTTGTTTAATTCAGGGTTTCGGTCCCCAACTCAGAAGCCGTTGGACAATAACTACAGAATAGGTATCCAGAATGCCAAATAATGCCCTTCAAAGACTGGTACTGGCTGGGAGCGATAACCAACCGAAACGCCAAGCTTCAAACCCGAAAACCCTTTACCTAGACCCCGGTCCCTACAAGTGCGCCGGAGTTGCTGCGCTAAAAATGCAGCCGAGACCTGACAGGGCACAGAAACTGAAAAAGATGAGGCTTAGGACTATGTGGGTAACTTTTTGTTTGGAGATCCTAGCTTAAATGCTAGGGGCTCAAACAGCTTTACCTGGCGAAGGTTGAAATCTGCGTGTAGTGCAGGCTGACTGTTGGAGTTGAAAGGGCCTTCACTGCTTCAGCAAAAACTTCTTTCTGATCAGTGGTTGGGATTGGGATGCTCGAAGAAGGTGCGAGCTGAATCATGATAGCTTCGTACAGTAAAGTCATGCAGAACTGTACCATTCACGGGAGGAACGGCATAGGTGCAATATCATGACTGTCTCCCACCCCGTAGTTGAGAACTGCTCGCTTTTCTTGAAATGTGCCTGAGACTTGTGCAACAGGTCCTCTAAGCTTTTGATCCTAAGCTGAACTGCCTGGATCTTTACTCAACGGCCGTGCTAGGAAATGGTTCCGAAACTTGCAGCAGGACTGTGCTAGGAACGCGAAAGACTCTTCCGCCAAAATCCACCCAGACCAAGGGTGTGGATTTCAATCCACAGACCTTGCTGCCCTTTACCTCGCCGATGCTGTCCATCACCTACAACTCGACTAATTCAACTGGACTCATAGTGACATTGTTGGTTTGTCCTGTTCTCTTAGGAATACGAGAGCAAGAAAATAATAGGCAGAAAACAGATTTCTGAGAAGACTCACGTCACTGGGGCAAGCTCCTGCAGGCTCGAGGCACCTGGCTGGCGAAGGACTTCCCACAGTTGCGTGCGGCCTTCTGGGGCCAGACGGACGCGGTCACCCGGGCTGAGCACATAGTTCACCACAGTGGGACTGAAGACCCCTAACTTGCCATCGCCAAACTTCACCTTCATGATTCCATTTCCACGGCTCTGAAGAATTCCATGCATGCCGCCATAGGATGCCATATGAGGCCTCCATTCAGCAAGGCCTGCGCTCTCCTCCCTGACTGTTGTCAGGTTGCTGGAAACATGAACCAAGGCGTTGCTTGGAGCGACAACCTGGTGCGGGAAGCCAAAATACTGGTCCTCGCCATCGAACTCAACGACCACTGCGGGATGCCGACGTGCAACCTTGCTACCCACTACGCGGCCAATCTTGCCTGGAAGCTCAGCCATCTTGTCAACCCAGCCCACGCCGGACTTGTCCACTGCTTCTTGGAGAAAAGTGGAGTCACAACATCCTGGTTGAACCACCAAGACTCGCCGTCCCTGAACTGCACTTTCACCGTGTTGTCGTCATCGTCACTCTTGGCAACGGTTCCGTGATGCCCGCAGTATTCTGCCATCTTAGGGTGCCACCCACCGTGACCCGCGCTTTTCTTCTTGACAAGCCGCGCGTCTTGGGACACAAGAACGAGCTCTTTGTCAAGCGTCTTCTTGAGGCGACTGTTGCGGAATTGAATCAAGATCTTGCGCACATCGCCATCGTTTTGCTCCCACTGTTCCTCAAAGGCCTCATACTCGGCATAAAATCGACCCGCGTGAAAAACCAAAGCGTACTTGCCTAAAGCCATGGCGAAGCGCTTAGCCTTCCAGAACCTGCTTGGAGATTCAGACGGCGGCTTGGGACCTCCATGGTTCTGATTCCCGGAACCCATCCACTGGCCAACTTGAACAAGGGCGGCCGCCAGCCCAGCCAGCTTGCTAGCTGAATCCAGCCACATGAGCATGGGACGCTGGATCGACCGAATCATTCCTACCCAGCTCTTCTCAGGTGATGTCTAGATTTAAGCTTTGAGCCGACACTCAACCCTGCGGAAAGGCTTTTCTTCGCAACAGCCAGCCCGGGCAATTCTCACTCACATGGCTCAAAAACAAAGATGCTGCCGATGTGTTGATTTATGCGGACATTCAGACTGAGACAGGGGAAACATGCAAGGGCTTCGTTGAGACCATTGTAATACATTTACCCATCGCTGTTTGAGGGCGACGTATCTTGAAATCTCTTGGATCAAAATCACCGTCCCAATGAAAAGCCCGATAAAATCCGTTCCTCTTTGTGCAAACACCCATGATACCACATGGCACGCGTAAGATCTTTCGGCCCTCCAGAGAGGAGGATAGAAAGAGACTACGCTTGGTAAACGCACTGCATCCTGCCAGCGTAATGACGCAGAATAGTAGGAGTAACATCTACCTATGCCCTCCAACTCAGACGCCCAAGACTGCTGCAAACCGAATGAAATCTGCTGCAATAACCAACTTGAAAGCCTCTTTAGTGCCCTCGGTATGGTTATGTTAGGTCTACAACTATGATATGGTCCGAACTACCTGGGAATTCAAGTAGGGGTCCACCATAATATAGACCCCAAAGTACCATAATCCTTATTCTGGGGACCCCACAAAAAGGTATGTACCTCTTATTTTGGGACACCCCCACATCCCCAAAACCCACAAGTTGTCGCAGACGGGCCTGGGCGAAGGTTTTCCTCGCGTCCAGCACGGAGATAAGGCAGGGCACCAGGGAAACGACCTGGGTCAACGTAGGATTATTGCTCAGGGCTTAGGGTTTAGGGTT